ACACTCTTCTCTATGAGCAGAGCAGCACTCAGTGATGCAGCACAATATTCTGATGAGGCTTCTCTTAGCCAGCCAACAGGATGACTGCAGCTGACTGCAGCCTCCTTGCCCAGATCACCTGGCAGGAGAGCATCCTGTCCAGGGCCTTTCTGCAGCACCCCCTGAACACAGTTGAACATGGAATGCTACTAGAGAGTCTGGGAATAATGAAAAGAATATTTTTGTCACTGAAACAGTATTGCTATAATCCTGGCCAAGATCGTGTTGTTACTGTGGTTGCTCTGTCAAAAGTTCTGTCTTTCAGCAGTCTATAACTAGTGGTTAAAGGGCTGGGATAAATACAGAATCATATTCTGCTAACCCCGGTTTTGGGTTTCTTTGTGGTAGACAGCCATAGTCATACACAGCCAAGGCTTAGCATTTCATCCCACTCCCCATCTACATCCCTAATGAGCTATTCTGGCAAACATATGCACAGCATTAGCCTTTGATGTTGAAACAAGCTGCTGGAATCTGAAGGATCCAAAATGTTGACTACTGCTGGGTGAGATGCTTTTGCTGAGAATATGAGCTCGGTCAGCCCTGGTCATCCCCCAATATTGGGGTATGCCAGGCCTCAGGATTGAGAGAAAGTTGGAAGTTTGGAATTGAAGTTTTAGGTGAACTAGAAATGGTGTGATTTTAAGGGCAGCCAGGCACACAGACAGCTCTTTCTTTTCTAAAATGCATTTACCAACAGCAATGGTCAGATAGACACAGTAGTAAAAGTTACTATTCAATGCTGCTTAGTATTTATTTAGAATATGGAATAAAAGTCTTCCTATTAACTGAAGAACTTCTGCAAAGAGATGCACAAAGAGTCTGGAAATCCCTTGACAAACATTTACACAAAAAGTGATGATAAACAAACAAGACCTGATATTTAGCACAATGCTTATATAGGGCAGATTTTATTAACAGCTTTGAATTTTTGCTCTGCCTGTCAGGAGAATCCTTTATCCTCAAACCTCTCAGTGCAGATTTACTGTAAAATGTAGCTCTCTGTTTTTAATCAGAGTTTGGGGAATGAAGGGAATCATATATCCAAAAGCATTAGCAAGTAATGCTCAACATCTCTGAAGGCACATTTATTGAATAGTTCAATTTGACTGCAAACTCAAATGGCTATCTCTGTTTTGGTGTTGATGTGTTATGAAATTATTCTCACATGCTGTTCCAGGTTCATTCATTGTCTGCCAAGAACTGAGTATTGCAGTCCTTTCACATGGGGAGTAAAAGCAAAATTTTTTCCTGTTACAACTGTCAGATAAGTCAAAAGACAATGTATTATTTAGGAACGTGGTGCAGCCAGTTCTGCTCTTGGCACGGCAGCTGATGATGCTGTAAACACCGTGCACGTGCCTCTGTGCTGGGAAGTGCTAAGTTACTGCACCAGACAACTGGGAACTTTAAATATGACCTCATTTTCAGAAAGGGAACACTAAACACCCCCTGAAACTCAGTTTCAGGTGTTTAGAAAGGAGAGAGCTAAAATAAATAAGAACTTTCTGAAAGTGTATATTTCATTCTTTTAGAAGAATGTTAAGAAATATTCAGTCTTTGATAAGAATTTTAAGACTCATTTTGAAGGCTGCTGTGTATGAGTAAATGCAGTAGTAAAATGAGAATTGTTGGTATGGATTTCTTATAAAATTGTGTTTTGGCATATAGACACTTTTAGACATAAATTCGGTCATTAGAAGGTCATATTTCCAAGGCTTTAAGAACTTTTCTTAGATTCAAGATAGAGTTTAAGTAGGAATATATGTTTTAATATAATTCATTTGTTAAATAAGGGGAACAAGAATTCTTATTAATAAACTTAGTGAGTTCCTGGGATCCATTTAAGCTTTTTTTTTACAAGAGCTCTTAGCTAGTTTCTTGTCACACAGCTAATTGATGTTGCTGCATTAAGTGGGAGATGGAAGTTGAGCCTTTTTCAGTAGCACATGGTCAATTTTGATAGTGTATCTTACTATGTGTTTTAGCAACAATTTGGAAGTGTTATAAGTCATACATATTCCTGGAATAAATCCACTGGTAGTTATCTCTGAGGACACATCCTAATCTTTTCTCTAAAAATAGAGTGACAGATTCTATTTACATTATGTTAAATTTTAACTGAAAAAGAAAAGCGTGGATCTGATGCTATTTCTGTGAGGAGAGGGGGAAAATTATGGGAATTCCAGTTATTATGGAGACAAAGATTAGTTTTTTTCAGAAGAAGTTCCATTCCTACTCTTATTTTAAAATTGTCATTGTTCTATTCCTTTATACACCAAGAGTCCTGCTCACTGTTATGAGAACTTCACAATTTAAATTGTGGAGAGTGCAATAAAAGAAATAATATGTGAGCAATAATATACAGCAAGAAGGCTGTACAGATCTGAGTACTGTCCTGTGCCCTAATGAAATGCATTATGGCAGAGCAAATGGTAAATATATTGGTGTGAGTTCTTTCTGATTTATGTTATTTTTACATATCTTGGGCTGAATGGATGATAGATTTATTTATGTTTAAAATCCAAACTGTGGGTAAAGTGGTACCATATAAACTCAAGCGTTTATCTCTAGGATAAGACTGAGTTGATCGACCTTGGGGAGTTTAGAGTTGCATCTCCTGAACTAAGGACAGGAACTGGAGCCTATTTCACAGAAGGAGAGAGGACACAAAACAGTGCATGTGAATGAAATTCAATCCATCCAAACAGATTGAGAAATCACATGCTCCTCTCTATTAGTCTCTGAATGCCTCCAGATCAGTTAAATATATTATCTGCTGGATAATCATTTTATGATGAAAAATTGGCAAAAAAAGCACACTCTGCTTGGAACTGTTATTTGCTTGATCATGCTGGTTTTGACCATTCTCTCCTGAGATGGTTTATCTATACAGCAGCTTGTAATTTATGTAGGGAAAGCCAGTGTAGTCACTGTGACCTTTTATACATTTTTAATTTCCTGTAAGCACTTGATTTTGATAAGGTGAATAGCTTTAGTTGTTTAGATTAACTGCACTTTCCTCAGCAAACTTATCTGCTGGGATCCATACAAGTGTCAATTATCATGAATTACCACCACCTTTAAATACAATTACTTAGCAAAATTATTTAAGACTAAAAAGACAAATGCTAGTAGCTAAGGACAAAATTCCACATTGAAATGTAATAAATTATAAAGACAATTAAACATCTTTACTAGAAGGAGAAATCAGAGCCTCAAGACACATTTGTAATTAAAGATGTCTATTTAAAATTTTCTCTCAATTTGACCCCCTTATAATTTAGGAAGATGTATGTTCTAATGGCAAGAAATTTAGTGGAAATTATGAACCTAATAGCTTTATAGTAAGAAAATCTATATCCTGATTACAAACCCAATTAATTTTGTCAGTAAAAATGTCTGGCAGATCTGATGGGATTCAGAGGAAATCCTCAGAGATGAGCATTTCAAATCAATAATGATTGTCTACTTTCAGTGTCTTTGGTGAAATCTATTGTAGAAGAGGTTAGAGAAAGAAGCATGTATATTGAACAGTATAAACAGTTTTAATGAGAGCCCCTCACTTGTGGTCTTGGGGGGCTTTGCACCTCTGGGTAGCACTAAGCAGAAGAAATGGCATTGTATCCAATTCAACAGCTTGTTAGTAAAAACACTTCACAATCTTAATTTAAAACTTCCTAGAGATCTAAGCCATGAGCACTTAGATTGCACATTGACTTTTCCCTTTCCTGTACTCTCAGCATCATTCCTTATCTTCTGTTATAGAAACGCAGACTGATTTGCTCCCCAAGATCTAATGAGAAAGCTCTTCCTCATCCACATTTCCATTACATAAAAAAACTCTTGCTGACTGACAGCAGTGAAAAAATGGCAAATCTCAGAAAGATGACTGATAGTGCCAGAGTGTATCCAAACTGTAATGGTCTTGATTGACATTATGGGACATGAGACATGTCATGAAGAAGAATCAAACTGTCACAGAAATAGAAAACCTCCACACTGTACATGGATGCTTGCATTTTTATGTTTATCCAGTACACTTGTACGCTAGTCCTGATTTTGTCTGCAAGTTTTATCTATGCTCTTTGTAAAAGCCCCAATTTGGTTATCTTCAGCTGCTATTTTATAGCAAGAGTCTGACATGAAGGCTTGTAATCAGACATCATTTTGTAAACAAGGAAAACATATGCTATATATAGAATAAATGATAAGGAATTGTGAATTGCAGGCCCATCTTGATACTGAGGTTTTCTGTGGGGATCTTGAAAATCACAGCAGGGAGTTCTGAATGGATTATGGAGTAACCAGAATCAATAACCAGCGTGACTATGCTCATTATTAAAAGCTGGGTTCCAAAAAAGCACACTTGGAAGGACACTGAATTTAAATTAGATCCTTTTTACTCCAGTTTTCTACTTCTCTCTCTCTTGTCATTTAACCTCCCTTGTTGTTCATTGCTCTCAGTGAATACAAGTGACTATGAAGTAATTTAAAAAATAATATGGTGAAGAAGAATATATAAAGCAATGCATAATAAATTAATGCCTGAATAAGGCAGCAATGGAGGAAGATTCTTCCAGCATATTCTCATTATAATCAGAAATACATGATTTATTACATGTTTGTGTAATAACTACAGATTTTAGGATGAGGGCAAAATCTGCCTTCCTTCAGCAGCAAGGAGGACGCTATTAGGGTGTACTTGTGGTGTTTAAAAGGAGCAGTAGTGAAACAAGCTCTTAGGAAACAAGGATGTGTCTGACCTACATCTAAACCCATAACAAAGTTAGGAAGAACCTGTTCCTTGTGGTCTGGAGCCTCTAACAGGCACATAAATACTTCCTTTGTGTGTGTTAAAGCTCGTAAAGAACACATATAAGCATTAGAAGGTGGTAAGGATGTAGTGACTGATCCGTAGGTTCCATTCTGCTGGCTGATGCTGTACAGACAGTACTGACCTGATCTGCAGCCAGGTGAGCATTGGTGTTGTGCCCCCCCCAAACACCCAGACAGTGAAGAACACGATCAGCAGGGCTGTGGTGAACATCATCTGCTTGGGCTGGGAGTCCGTGTCCCGAATGGCCAATGCAAACGCAATCGCACCGCGTAACCCTGAAACAACACGAGGATGATGGACTTAATGGGAGGGAGAAACAGAATTTTAATCTTTTCAGTCCAAACCCGTTCCAAGGGCAGAGGAAATTTTCAGATCATAATCCTGCTTATAAAGTACTGAATCATGCTAACTAGAAGGGTGGGATGTAATGCAGAAAATTTGAAAAAGTGAACAGTGAAAATACTACTCATACATACACATACTAATCACACTTTTGCTTTACATATACTGAATTCTTTGTCTTGAATAATTTCAAATTAAGTAGTAATCTGAATTTAATGCAGGTTGAGAAAGAAATCTATATCCTGTGTTAAGTGGGACTACTCATGAAGTAAGGAGCAAGGGAAGAAGAAGATTGACATTAAAATCTGTACCCAAATACGCTACTCATTTCTCCCTTGAAAAGATAGAATATATTCCTTTAAAAGAATTTGATGTTCTAAGACTAGTCAGAAAAAACCTGACTTAAAAACAATGAATAGTTTTTCAAAGATGGTTTTAAATATCTAAAATGGATGCAGAATAAATTAATGTACTTGAAACATAATAGTTGTAGAATTATACACCCACAGAGACTAAATAAACAAGAAATTATAAAGGTTGTGAAAACAGCTAAATGGGTTTTTTTTTTTTAAAAAAGCCCCATAGGTAGTAATAAGGTGACTAAATAGGTCTTGACAGAATGCCATGTTTAAAAATTGAGGGGGGAAAAAGCCTGCTAGCGCCTGCAGCCCTCAGAATGCAACATACAAATAATACTCTATATTTTCCAGTTCCTTTCATTTATATATTTAAATGTACTTCATCGTTTTCCAAAAAAATCTCACAAAGTAAGTGTGGAGAGCAAAGTCATTATGTGTATACAATACACTCTGAGTCCAAAAAGTACTTTGCAAAGTATTGAGAGATTAAATCTAGTAATCAAACCTCTTGTAAGGCACTGATGACATATGCAGAATCATTTAATTAACTGCTAAATGCAGCTATTTTTGGGCTAGAACTCCAAAGCTCTTCAAGATTATATAGCTAGAATGTGAATTATTTGGTACAGAAGCTGGGCTTCCAATTCTTTGGTACAGAAGTTTATCCAGGAAACAGCACACAGCCATTTCTGCAAGGAAGAAGCAGACTGGAGTTGCATTATCTGAAAATAGTCAGTGGCAGCAGGTTCAAAACCCTGCAGGCAGACACTGGGCTTGCCCTTGGCTTTGCTTTTGTGTAAAAGATGTCTCTAAGGATGCAGATGCTTTACTGTTTTCTAACAGGGAAAGAATATCATCTCATTTTAATCATGTATCTGAACTACTATTGAAATGGTCTTTATATCAGTGGTTACAGTGGTAATCTGGATGATTAACACAGCTACATCTATTTCAATGGAAAACAACACTGCTTCCCACAATTGCATCACACCTTTAATTTTAAATCTAGAACATCTCTTTTTGTAAGAGGGGATATATATATGTATATACACAAAAATATCTACATATAAAAGTTAATTAGTATGTCTTCTTGAGCAGTGGACTGGCTGTTTCCTCAGTTCAGAAATACAGTGAGTGACTTCTCTGCATTTTTCATTTATAAAAGGCTCAACATGGTCTATAAGAGATAATTCACTTTCAACTAAAGACATGTCTAAATTAAAATAAATAATCAAACTAAACAACTAAAGCAGTGGGAAGCAGATTAATACACTTCAAATATAAGGACTCTAAGAGAAGCAAGGAACACTACTATATATATATGTATATATATATATATATATATATATAAATACTTTCCAGGTAATAATATAAATGAAGGAAGGGAATTTTAACAACGTCAAAAAAGTTGAGATACTGAAGTTAAGGAAGATTAAATTTTCTGTAAAACTTCTTGGAAGAATGCCACCAAAGCCCAGTGGAATGATTGGATGTAGTGAATGTTGGGTACCTCAGCTACACCTGGAGAGAGCAGTGCAGCAGAAGGACCAGCTCTGGTGAACCATTAGCAGAGATGCTCTCCCCTCATCTTTCAGAGGTGCACTGATGGCAGCTCCACATCTGTGTTAATCCATTCATTCTTGGGCTGAATCACAAATTTCCTAACAGATTTTTTTTTTTTTCTAGCCATTAGGGACTCATCTTTAAGCAATATTCTTTAATGTGCCAGAGCTTTCAAAGCAGACCAACCCAGGGCCAAGCTCCAGAGCCCCCCAGAGCAGAACCCATGGGCCCTGTAGGGCTGTTAGCCATCCTTTGCCCACACCCCACACAAACACCTCTCCAAACCCAGCCCTCTCAGTGAGAGCTGGAGTGTTTGTTGTTGTTGGGGAAAGAATCTGCCAGGAAATAAGACTTTCTGTGGGTAGCTTGGTGTTTTGGTTTCAGCTGTAGTTTTCTGCTCTTTGCTTCCTTGCTTTCTTTTCTGTTTAGCTGATTTCTTCACATATCTGAATCTCTTGGACAGTTCACATTGCCACTTCCCACCTCTGTGTCTGTATGAGTGTGTAGATGTGAATGCCTGCACAACAGCTGCCTGTACACAGGCTTTTTTTGGTTTAATTCTGCATTTGTGTTCATCCTTTTCAGACTCCACTGATGCTGTAATGCCTTACATTAACAGCAACCACCCCTGTAGCACTGTGTCCCACAAGCCTCTCTGTTGCCTATTTATGTGTTGTAGAGAAGAGGAAAGCAGAGTAAAAAGTAAATAAAGATGTTGGGAGAAGAATGGAAGGTGCTATAAAGGCTAGGACTTTAAAATGTTTATTTTCACGTGAGCAGAGACTGATGGACTGCTCACTTTAGCTGATGTTCAACTTAATTTGAGAAGCTCAGGCTTAATTAATCCTTGTATAAAGGACTAATCAAGTTTTCATTTACAATGGAATGTTATCAGGAATCATGATTAAAAACAGTTGTAGAAGTGAATCCACCCTCTGTAATGTATTGTTAGAGGAGCGGCAGAAGTAGATGAAGGATGTGATGAATCCAAATGCTCCATAATCCACCTCCAAGCCCAGCTCTTCCACCTTGCCTCAACTGTATTAACACGCATCAAAAAGCAGAACTTAATGACTTCAGGAGAGTTCTTTGCAGAGTAAGGTATAATCAAATGCTAATCCACAGTGTACTTGCCTGACCCTAATTGCTTTTCTCAGCAATTTTTCTCAGCAATCACTTTGGTGATTGTGGCAGTAAAACAAGCAGTAAATGTTTGGTGGTTTTGGTAATGATGATAGGAAACAAAACTACCCCCAAATTCATTGTTTTCCACATCTGTGTGTGTGATGCTGTGGTGAATGAAGGCCATTTTGTCCTGTGATCAACTAGAACTTGATGCTGTACCAGAACAACGAAGGTGGTAAAACACACTCCGAGGTGGTGGATGCCCCGTCCCTGGAAACACTCAAGGTCAGGTTGGCTGGGGCCCTGAGCAGCCTGATCTAGTTCAGGATACCCCTGATAATTGCAGGGGGTTGGACTGGATAACCTTTAAATGTCCTCTCCTGCCCAAGCTCTTCTATGACTGTTGTTACTCATCTTTGTAGATAATTTCCTTCAAACTCAAATTCAATGTCTTGTTTAGTCATCAGAAATGTGTCTCTCTTCTGGCAGCTGTTGTCCTCTTTGTTTATCTATATGCAGTATGATCAGTTCACAGCACTAAGAATGTTATTGGTAACTAAGCACACATCTTGGTGCATCTTACAAAATAGAATTACACACAAAATCTGTGTATCTTGTGTTCTGTGAAGTGTGCGGCTCCTGGCAGCATGAGAGACAGTCTTTATTATTATAGTTGCAGATTATGCCATTACTTTATTATAATGTAAAGACATTTTTCTCTACAAAAGAGAGGGTTTTTTCTTCTTTGAAAGCAGTTAAAAATTACTTTTTTGAGAATTTTAACATTTAAATTTTAGAAGCTTGCAATATTACTGTTTCAGTTCTCAGCTGCCAGATTGTCCTGGAAAGCTAATGTGTGTGAGTTCTCACGTTCAGTTGCTGGCTGCAGGCTGCTTTCTGCTCCTGTTCCGTGGAGAATGAAATTCAACTGCAGAAAACGAGGACAGAAAAGTGAAAGAATAAGGGATTTCAGAAGGTTTTCCATTCTATACTGTAGCTGATGAAAACCAAAAGCCAAAATGGAGCCCAGGAGCTAGATACCAAATGCTATGATGCTATTTTTCATGCTGTTGTCTAGCTGGCCACCTGCTAGGCTTACTAGAGGGATCTACAGATCCAAGTTGCGCGTGGAACAATCGCAGGGGAGCAGTTGGGCTGAAAGGCAGCTCCTGCTGGATGTGTCATCATCCCTCACTCCAGCCTCGCTGGAATTAGCTGACATTTTCAGTGGCAGCTTTTAGCAGAAGGATTGAATGGGTATAGAAATGAACTGCTGTGTTGCTCCCTAGAGAGTTGGAATTATATAGGCACAAATGAGGCCCCCTGATGTGGAGTACTCCCGATGAGGAAGCTTGAAATGCAGCACATTGTATTTCACTCTTTATCTGGCTAAATGGATCTCTGTGCATCAAGGCTGTCAATCAAGAACTTCTATCCATACAAATGTGGAATAATTTTTTGCATAAAAAGCAGGAAAAAGAAGCAGAAAAGGTGCTGAGTTTTTTTAATTTTAGAAGATTGTATCATCAATAACATTGGGGGATCTGCATTTCTGTCTTTTACTGAACAGATATTCTTAGATTATACGTGAGTTTTTCCTAGCATCAGAAAGTCAAGTGGAATTATTTCTAGCTTGTACAAGTAAAAAAAATATGGAATCCAGATGAGCCTTAACAGATCTGGGGATGATGTGCAAATCAGACTAGAACATGGCTCCCTCTTCTGGATTTTAAATATTTTTTTATTATTCTACAATGTTAACAAAATCAATAAAATTAAATATGAAGCTGGAATACATATGAAAAAGTCTGAGGAATTGTTCTCATCTCATATTTTAAAGTAAAACTGTTCTTGAAGTTGAAGGAATTACCAAAGAACATGTGTGATGTGAGTATCAGTACTAACACTGTCCAAGTTGGATATATTTATGTGCTGCTATGTAAAATACTCTCAGGTATACTACAGGTGCCTCTAAAACAACACAATTTAAAAACCTGGTATTCCCAAATTGTTGTGGAAGTGTAGACAGATGGGGGAGACAGTGGGTTGAAAGACGATGGCTTCCTGGGCAGTGAGTTTCCAAAACATTAATTAAAGTAGGTCAAGAGCACAGAGAGGTTGATCAGAAGGCATCCATTTGCTTCAGTAGCTTTGGAGAGATGACCTTGACTTTTAAGATAACAAATTCTTTGTGATAAATAGGGCTTTTTCTAGTGATAGATGACTATTTTTGTCATTCATTAAATGTGGACAGGAAAAATACCAAAAAACCCCAAATAGTTCTTACCTGAAAACATCATCATGTGCTGAAAGTTCCTGGGAATCTTTTGTTTTCGACCCAAATTCAAAAGGAAAGAGAGTGGGTATATGTTGGAAGCTCTTGCTACAAAAACTGCCACCTAAAATGTAAGATGTTGAGGAAAATAGTGGACAAACTACTGACAAAACCAGAGTTAAATATTTCTCTAAAATTATTTTTAAGGTGTAATTAAACAAATATGATATTATTTTCCTTCATGTTTTACATGTCATGTTCTCATGCTTCCTGTGCAGTGGCAGAGATCTGACTTCCCCAGACATCCTGGTTTTATATTCATCATAATATATCTCACTTCAATCACTCTACTTCTACTCATCACATTTGTCACAGGTGACTTCATCTTCAGCCCTTCAGGAAAATGCCCACCATCAATTGCAGAGAGAACATTATCTCCTTGAGCAGCAATTTGCAGAGAATAAATGTGCTTTTGGACTTGATTATTACTTCCTTATTTCCTGGCAATTCATATTGTCTATACCCAGCATTTTTTGCCTTTTCTTCCCCTTCACTGAGGAGTTTCTTCTGATGAAGTTCTTTATGTGGAACTGTCCCAGAAGTTGCCTTAATTAAAAACATGAGGCCATTATCAGATTTAAAGAAAGGCAGTCAGAGCTCTTTATATATGTTTTTTGTACATTTGCACGTTTGTGACCTCCCCTTGTCTTGTAGCTCAGTCACGGCACTCCCAGCCCGGGACACGCCACGAGCTGGGGACCAGTGAAGAGTTTGAGAGGCGATGTCTGTGTCCCAGTGGCTGCACCAAGAACTGCCTGCAGCCCCACGGCTTGGGAGGATGCTCAGGCAGCCCCACGGCTCGGGAGGATGCTCAGGCAGCCCCATGGTTTGGGAGGATGCTCAGGCTGCTCATTTTGAAATGACATATAGAAATTACTGCACATAAACACTATGCTCCCAACTTTCAAAGCTATTACAGTCCATTTAAAAGTGATAAGCAGAGGGCTGCAGCTCTGAGCCAAAAAAAAAAAGAAAACATAGTATAAATTGTCAATGTGAAAAGAATCTATACTACTGTACAAGTAATAATTGTTGAGAAACCATGGCAGAATTAAAGACAGAGCTTTTCTTACCAGTCTCTTAGGCACGTGATGGTGTAAGTGATTCCATGTATACTTGATATCAAGTATAAAGAAGGAAAGATTTAAGCAAAACAGAACTGTGTGATTAAGGACTTCATATCATTTAAGTAGTTTTGGGGAAGTCCTGTTTAAGGCACACATCTGTCTGGAGGCAGCTCTCCAGTTTGTGAATCTGCACTGGCTCCAGACAGGAAAAAAGGTTTTGTGTTGCAGCTGTCCCCACAGATATGTCCTAATACTTACCCCAACTTCCCACCCCACCTGTAAACCATTGGCAAAAGTTCCCCAGTTGGTTTAAAGCTATTTGCCTGTAGCAGAGGAGCAAACCAGCAACTATCCAAAGAATATGCATTGGGGCAGTTATTGGGATATAGGTAATAGATGACTTGGAATAGACAAAAAAATGATCTTTAGTATTCAAGGAAATGATTGACTTGCTTGTTGACTTCTTTTTTTTCACATGGAACATGCATTCTTTTTACATGGACACACACACACATGTACAGAGATATATACTTCTTTAAAGCAAAGGATACAAGTGCACCAAATATGAAAAGAGGATTGAAGATGTGATTTTGAAATGTAAATAGCGCAAGTCCCATGTAACAGAAGATGACATTCTCAGCCAAAAAATTCATGAACTCGAACAACTTTAATGAGAAAGAAAGAACATAATTATGACTCATGTCTACAGCAAACTACTGATTATCCCAAGTTCCCTTGGAATACAGAACTGTTTAGATGAAAGGAACAGAAATTGCTGCTATTTCAAGGGTGGATTTTAAACCCACCTAATTTGCTATACACTATAACAAGGTGTCTTTTAGCTTGAAAAATCATAGTTGCTTGCATGTTTTTCTCTGATTTGTATATGAAAGCTTGACATAGACAACCAGTAAAATACATAAACAGCAAGTAAGTTATATGAGCTTCAATGCAAACTGCAAGGAAGCTGAGGGAAATTAGCTTCACTCATGTTTACAGGGGTGAGCCTGGGAAATGGCTCCTGGTTACACAAGTGGCTGTGCATAATGCAGTCCTGGGTATGGGTACATTAAAGCCTAGAGAGAAAAAAAATTCCCAAATGGACATTTAAGAACCTTCCCCTTTAAAATATAGCACAGTCTTTCTTGCTAGTGTGAATATTATCCTGCAGATGTAAACTCTTATTGCACTGTATGGACATCAGTCTCAATACTCATTTCAAACCAAACTATTTAAAATATAATTTAAAGGTATTATAAAATAAGCTTAAAGTACATGAGTAGGGTAGAATTTCTTCTGTGAAAAAACAAACAAAGCCACAATATTCATTTGCCTTGGGGGGATGTTCTTGATTGTATTTGCAACTGATTATATTAAAACTAATAAAATAAATTTTCCTATTTAACCACATCTGGAAAAAATTGATCATTGCTGCCAAATTTCCACAGAGGAAAAAAAGGGGTATTTCTCTTCTGAAGTCACTTTTGAGCTCAGGATTCTATGCCAACAAATCTTGATGTGGAGATAGGGCTGAAGTTTGTCAGTCTGTCTGCAACCAGCCATACATCACTATCCAGAAGGTTACTATGGAGATGGTTTATTCATCCTCAATGGGCTTATGTATTTTTTGTAATATGTTTGTGCTTCTAAAAATAAATATCCAGTAACAGTCACTAAAATTTAACAAAGGAAAAATGAGAGCTGTCACAATCATTAAAACAAATTTGAGAAGCAAAATGGCATAAAACCCATTAGTATATGGGAGGATATTTTGGATCCCATGGCAGCCCCATCAATTATCCCAAGGACACATTCCATAGCCCTCATTTTGTGCTGCAATACTGAACAACATGAAAACAAACACAAAAAATATTTGCAGGTTAGCAGTCTTAAATGTTTTTTAAGATAATAAATGTATGAGAATTAAGTTTAGATGCGAGAAACCAGTTGTCAAAAACTTCCAAGTATGGGATCTTGTGTCCCATAGAAATTATGATAAATTCTTCCATTTCCACTGGGAGCAAACATGATCCCATGTATTTGTGGGAATATCATCTGATGTATTGTTTGAAACAATAGAAAAATGTATCAGGAGGGCCATGACAGGATCTACATTTCTACAAAGTAGATGCCTGTGTTTATATGAAAACCTAGTGAGGGAAGGATACTGCTATGAAGAGCTACAACTGGATACTTTAATTGTTGGGATGAGATAAAGTACTCCACTTTATTGATATTTCATTTTTCATTTAGAAAATCTCATTCAAGACTCAAAAAAAATTAAAGTAGATGCACTATTGTCGCATTTTAGAAACAGAAATTCTTAAATTTCCATTCTTGTGTCTTCAAAACTTCTGGTAATATATGTTTTTTGGAGGAAAGATTTTTTCTATATCATTGCCTTTGTTCTATACTTTTTCTCAGCAATCTTATTAAATTCAAGCTTTTACTCTTGCCTGAAGTGCTTTCATGGTGTAGCTAATTTTAAACTTCACACCCCTTGTCTCCCAGCAATCTGATCAAGATACAATCTTTATGGGTTTCTTGCAAATCCAGCGTACTGCATCTTTTTCATTTCCCTGTAACTTTACCTCCGTCTACTCACTATGTGCATCGTGCTTCCTCCTACTTCAAACTTCCAGGCTGATTTCAGTAAATGATTGTTAAAGAGAAAAAGATCCCTCATTCTTTTCTGGGTGTTTGCACTCGACATGAACAACACATTTTTCCTTTGGTCTGGGTGAATGTGTCGTGTTCCACAGCACAGGCCTGGTGTCTCTGTTCACAGTGGATGTAACATTTGTAGCCACAGCATCTGTGTCAGATACTGCCAATGCTGGAATTGTATTGCTGGACATCAATTTAATTTCTTTATTTCTTTTTGCGAGAGCAAATATAATCCAAATATTTTTATTTTTTTTATGTGTGTGTGTGGCTTTGCTGAACTGTGATTTTTTTTTTTCTTTTATCTCTAGTTTCTCTGTATTCTGATCTTTCACTATCAGAGCATGGGCTTGCTTGCTAGAAGATTAAATCCAGACTACTCTTCTTTCTTTGTGTAGCAAAAATCCAGGTGTTATTTCAATGGCTAATTTAGAGCAGGCTCCACTCCTTCCTATTCCAGGCACAGCCATGATATGTTCTTTTATCAAAGATTCAGCTCCTTAAAACGGTAAAAGTAGCTTTTTAGCTTCATTCTGAATCTTTTGTGTTCCCCACATAGTTTTCTCTCTTCTTTTAAAAGTCTATCACTTATTCACATGACACATTTATTCACTGGCTGCTACTTATTCAAATTTCTCAGCATGAGTTAGAAAAAATTAAATAAAACAACTGCTTCAGAACTAGTTATTGTCATACGAGATGTTACCTGAATGCCTTTTCCTGGAACATGACACTTGCTGATATAACATAAAAATTACCGACTGTTCTCCTGACTTTACTTTTATTCGTGTATTTAAGCGTAGTGTTTTATTTAGTGTTCAGCTTCTGTGCTTTGTTCAACAGTAATACAGAGCCCATGGAGAGATTCCATTTAGCACTTAACTGTCAGTGCTGTGCAGCATAAATCCCTTCAGAGCAAAACAATTTCTTCTAAAGAGATCTTCTGAAAACCATGTTAAGAAACAGCTTCCATAGGAGCATTTCCCCAAATTGTCATGCCTTTCAGTCAAATATTTCTGTCGTTATTTTAAATAAGAGATGTCAAGACCTTTTGATGAGAAGTAGAAAAATAGGAGCAATAGGCTTTCAACTGGACTTTAAGAATTCCTGGGTCAGCCAAGGAGTTGCACCATACACAGTAGGCTCTGGGTGACATCCTCCCTTGTCTGAGGGGCCATGAGCCAGGTCCATGCTGTGGTCCATGGGATGATTAAATGCCACTCAAAAATTCCCAATATTTTGAATATCTGTACTTGCAAGAGGGATTACTTTTGTGGGAAGAAAAAGTTAGGATTGAAGTCCTGGATACTGAATGTTTGGAAGTATATTTTAATAACCATAAATTCCCTTCCCTTGTCACCCACACAGACAATCAAGCTCTTTCCACTCTAAATGAAATTGGCATAAAGCTCTTATACGCCACTATTAGTTTTCACAGGAAAAAAACATTTTAATATACACACAGCAATAAGACATCTTTATTAAACTAAAACCCCTCATTTGTAATGTGGCATTTCTAACTCTCCACGAAGTTTATAAATCTGCTTATACTTTTAATGTAAGAGCTGTAATAAATCACCAATGTCAACACATTGCAGAGTGGAGTATTAATTTTAAGAACACCGGTTCAGAACTAATCCAGGCACTTGGTTTAGGTGTTTAGCTCAGTGAGTTACTGAAAATGGTATTTGCTTTGCTTTGGTAATTTCCTCTGTAAGTAGTGGTTATTACAAAAGATTTGTATCAAAACTGACATGATGTTTATGTATTTAAAAACACATCATTCATGAAATATGCTTCTTTTACTCTCTTTTACTTTTCTATTACTCTCAGCTGTTTTAAGTACTAAGGGAGATGTGCAAAAAATTCCATTTTAAGCTGGGACATTGTTCTGGAAAATGAACTTTCAGTTCAGTTCTCACTGGCAGAGGGAGAAATCAGTCCAGGCTACCTGTACCTTATGCCTTGCTGCAACCAATGGGTTTATCTTACACCAATGTTTTATTTTAACTCAAATGAAAAAAGTTACATGATATAAAAACGGTATTAGTTTTACCTTTTCAGTGAGATAAGGAAAGCACATTCTTTTTCCCTCTCCTTCCTTTCCTCCACCCCCACAATAAAGTTCCAGCCAACCAGAGCAGTAAATTATGCCAGAATGACTTTTGCAACTTGATTTATTTTCTAGAACTACTTATATTTTCACTGAGTGTTAGAGAGATTATCTAGGTAAGTAATTAGTGCACCTGGAAGATGAACACACTAAGTACCAATCTCATCTGCAACAAAAATAGAATTCCTTAAAGGACCATCAGAAGGAGAAAATGAACATAATCTATGCCAAAGTCCCCTTGTGGCTGGGGAGACAGAACAATGTAAGATTTTTCAAATACTGATATTTTAAGGAACATTTCTCATCTCAAGGGAATAAAGTTAGTATAACAGGACTGGATAAAAGCAGAATGACAAACAGCATTCTTTCTTCTTGAGGGAATAACATTAGCATGGAGGTATTGGGTAGAAGCTGAGTTACATCCTGAAGTTCCTTCCAGCAAAATTTAGTGAATTTTAATCATTGATGGCAATATTGCATTTGTTCACTTGATTTAAAATCTGCTGAAGGAATGTCATCCACCTCTTGCAGGTACCTGCAGGACTTCTGTAGTTGGACTGATTTTGCTAAAAACATGAGAAATGTCACGTGTCTCGGGGGTGCACCCTACAGTGATATATTCTTGCAACAAAACAGGGAGAGTTTCCGTAGTCCAACAGCAGCTAGGAAGCTAGAATGTAAAACTAATTATGCACTTAAGAGAGATCTAAAGGTGGCAGAGCTATTAAAAACTGCAGAAGTCAATGTTAAGTGATGTTTATAAAATTTGTTATCTTTGAATAATGCTATTTAATTAGATCACAGATATCAAAATATCCCACAAATTCAAGGATATTGATAAATTAATAATTGATGAAAATTGCTTTTCCTTAACTCCTTTGAATTAAA